CTATAAAAATTAAGCATCTTGGGAAAATATACAATAATACGTAATTAGAATATTCTTTAACGCTTAAATTTAATGACAGAGTTTATGTTAATTATAAGCTTCAAACAATTGTTAGATATCAAGTCATTAAACCATTTAATTCCTTAATGACTCTTAATTTTTCACCAAATGGAAATCGGCCTTTTTGGCTCGCACTTGATCAAGTCGTTGACCCACAAGTTAGTCTTATTTCAATTGAATATAATAAATCACAATAATAATAATATTTATCTAATTAGAATTTAAACATATAGAATTTAGGTGCTATTATTAGGTTTGAACAAAGAAATATATTTTTTTATCTTATTATTTTTTTTAAACCTTAATTTTAATTTTAATTATTAGATCTGCTTACTTTTTTAATGTTAATGGTCTTGTTATGTGTTCAAAAAATAGGTTTGTCCATCTACAATTGATTCAAACTTAATTCAACACGTTTAAACTCAATGACATTCATTCGTTTTTATAGTGCACCGTTATCCGCGGTTACAACTAAAGCAAGTTCCGGTGCACTTGAAATTATGGATGTGTATAATGTTGATGATTTATCAAACTTTTTAAATGAATCATCACAAAACGGTTGGATGATATATGGGGCAGTATCAAATGTTGAAAGCAATAATATTTCTATAAAGAGTGCTATATCTATAGATGAATTAAAAAATCCTTTGTCACATAATCCCATAATTTTAGCCATTGGAAGCGAAGGTAAGAATTACTATTAAAAACCGTCACTATGTTGTTTATTATTATCTAATAAAAAATTCTTAGGTATGGGTCTCCGCCCAAATATCTTGAATGCCTGTCATTATCATTTGTATATACCTTCATCACACCCAAATAAATTAGAATACATTGACTCATTGAATGTTAATGCTGCTACTGCAGTATTATTGCAGAGATTTCTTGGAAACAAATGCTAATACATGATATTGCAGATGTGATATAATCAAACTACTTGTTTTATTAACTAATATATTTATAGAATAGAAAAAATATTTCGAGAAATTAAGTTTACTTTTTTTTATAATTGTTTTTATAGCGATGGGAATTCATGAAATTTTTACACAGGATTGTAACTTTATATTTAAAATAAAAATCATATGATAATTTGACCAACCAAGAATTAAGCCTCCTAATTTGGTCTATCATCTTTTAACAATTTATTCAATTCATCTTTAGTCGTTTCAATAATTGGAATATTTGCTTCATCTGCTAATGATTTAATCTTTTCAGGTATAGTTCTACTATTCATAAGAATATTTTATTTATAAGTCATCCGTTACATTTAGTAAAGAATTAAACGCATTTTTATACCTTTCTTTTCTACGGAAAAGAATTCCTTCTTGAATAAATAATCGATAGAATTTTCTTCGTTTTTGCTCAAGTGCAGGTAATACAACTGAAAGGCCATATAAATAGTCAAAATCTTCTTTTCGCTGTCTGGTTTAAATAAAAATACGTACTTAATAATTAATTCCAACATAAAAAATATTTTAAATAATTAATACTACATGGAAGACCCTTTATAAATGTTTTGCTTATAATCATTATTTTTATAATAATTCTTGAAATCTAAATTAAAAGGATAAACTATTTATAAGTAAATTTGAAAAAATAGACGACGCATGTGGGTTTATTTCGTACCGCTTCTTTTATTCCTATGATATGTCCTACGGCATATAATAATACTATTCTTCGTCAGTATAGACGATCGAGAACGTAAAGCCAACGCATGATAAGAATTGAAAGTTAACATAATAAATTTCAAAATATGTAAAAAAAATTTCTGTAACACAATAGGAGGTTGATTTTGCCGATTAGGTTACATGTAATTTGTGCCCTGGTGAAAATCAGTATCGCGTAATCAATTAAAGATTATTTGGATACCAAAACTTATTTGCTTTGAACCGAAAGGTTTTGGCTTTCGTCATATTGCTGATGAAACCGATGCTAGGCTTATATAAAAATGTTAAAACGTAAAAATTATCACTTTAGGACACTTTTTATCAATTTGTCGTTTGATTTCAACAAATACAAATTAACACATTATTCATCATCATCCTCCACTACCTATAAGACTGTAAACATATCTAATTGTGAAAATACTATTTTAAGAATATTGT